AGGTGACTGCCATTCCAAACTTTGTTCAATGATGATCCGTAGTGTGGCGATTTGATCAATACATGACTTGTTTCTCCTGAATCCAGCCTGTTCCGGTCGAAGTTTTTCATCCAGGGCTTGTTTGATTCTTTCCAGGATGATGCGGCTTAGTATTTTGCTTGGGATGGACAGGAGCATAATTCCGCGCCAGTTCTTGCATTGACTTAAGTCTCCTTTCTTTGGTAGTTTGAATAAGTATCCTTTCTACCCATCCTCGGGTACTTTGCCTTCTTTCCACACTTTCTCTAGTTGTGGCGTCATCAAGTCCGCTGTTGTCTCTGGGTCAATTTTCAGTGCTTCTGCTGGGATTCCATCTGGTCCTGCTGCTTTTCCAGCTTTCAGCATCTTGATTGCCTTCAGGACTTCTGATTTCGTCAGGGGGTTGGTGTTCACTGGTAGCTCTGTCTCCGTTGTTGGTATTGTTAGGCACGTTGTAGGGGGTAGTCGATTTAGGAGTCTTTTGAAGTGTTCAACCCAGTGTTTCCTTTGCTCCACTTCTTTGGTGAGTGACTTTCCATTGTCATCCTTCACCGGCTTAATTTGTGTCAAACTTCTACCCGATAGGTACCTAGTTGTTTGGTAGAGTGTTGCGAGATCTCCTTTGCCTGCTGCGTGTTCTGCTTCATTGGCCATGGCTTCATAATACTTTCTTTTGTCTTCTCTGGCACTCTTCTTTACTCCTTTGTTCAGTGTATTGTAGTTTGCATTCAACTCCTGTTTTTGTTGCTCGTCGGTGCACTGGATAATCTTTTGTTTCACCATCCCTCTCTCTTCTATTAGTCTCCAAGTGTCCGTAGTGAGCCACTGTTTGTCCTGTCTCTTCTTTCTGCCTAGAACTTCCATGCAGGTTTGACTCCACACTGTTTTCAAGTTGTTCCAGGCTTTCGACGCTGACCTCTTCGCTAGTGTTGATTTGTGTCTCGGCTTTGTCTTTTATGCTTGCAGTGAAGATATCCTTTGTGTCCTGGTCCTTCAGTTTCTGAGTGTTGAACTTGGCTTGTGGTCTATCTGCAGCTCCTGTTTCTCTGAAAGCTTTTAATTTGATTTGGATTGTCCCTTGTACGAGATAGTGGTCTGAGCCAACGTCTGCTCCTCTTCTTACTTTTGTGTCCAGTAGGCTGCGCCGCCACTTCCTCGAGATTGTGATGAAGTCAATTTGGTTTTTGGTTCGCCCATCTGGTGACACCCATGTAGCCTTGTGAATATCCTTGTGTTTGTATACGCTGCCACCAACCACTAGTTCATTGAGTGTGGAGAAGTCGGCGAAGAATTCTCCATTTTCGTTCATCTCTCCAAGAGCTTCCCTCCCCATGATGAGTTCCCTTCCTGTGTTGTCTGGTCCAAGTTTGGCGTTCATGTGTCCCATTAGTATTTTAATGTCACCAGCTGGAGCATTCTCCATTGTTGCCTGTAGTTGTCTGTAGAATTCTTCTTTCTTTTCGAGGTCTGCGTTGTTTGTGAGTGCACAGCATTAATAATAATGTATTCTCATTTCGTACATGAGGGACGCCAGTTTTCATGCATCATCAATATGATATATTACATATACGATAAGTAAACATATTTAATAATAGTAACTTAATAAAATACATTTTTTCCTACCTGTGTAGGACACACCAATTGTACAGGCATGGATAATTATTATTTAACTTAAATAAATTTGGTTCATGGTTAAATAATGTGGTTGCAGTCATTTTGTCTATGGGACATTATGATAACTAGTCATTCAATGCAGCACATCAAGAAATATAGAAATATAGTCTTCGTATTAACAAAAAAACCAAAGTATGTTTTGGATGGATTGCAAATACTTGGGAAAAAAATAAAGCTTGAAGTAATTCCTCCATATAACTTTGGTGTGTACGGCATCGAGTCTTATTCTTGATTTATATCCAAATTTGATAATAATTTAAAATAAGTGATACACTTGTATACTTTTGTCAGCATTTTCTTCGTAACATCACAACTGAATAGTACTCAAGGTAGAATAATAATAATTACAGTTTATATTTTCTTATAAACTGGTGTTCTCAAGAAATGCAAGCTTTTTTTGCAGGTACAATCAGTTATGCTGTAAGTTACAATCGTGAAGTATTATAAATCAATACTTTTTATTGGTATAAAGGTATATTTCACAACTGTAATCCAGGTAGCGTCGTTGGTAAGTAATGCGTAATTCACGAGGAAATTGTAAGATATGGGACCAATAATAATATATATTTATTCCTGTTTATGCAGGGACATACCAATTGTACAGGCATGGATAAGTTATTATATAAATTACACATGTTTCGATGTATGTTGAGTTTACAGTTTGTTTGTTCTTTCTGACATTACAGTCAGTCGGAACAGTGTGCTAAATAGTCTGTCTGTGTAACACATAAAGAGATATAGAAATATTGTCTTCGCATTAACAAAAGACCTAGACATCAGATGAATGTAATACAAATATCTGGGAAAAATAAAGCTTGAAGTCAATTCTCCTATATAACTTTGTTGTGAACAGCATCCTTGAGTTAAAGTTTATTGATGTATTATTTCGAGTCAATAATGTATTTATTCCATTTTTTCAGCAGTCTAATCGTAGTTTTATAATAGGAAAGAAATTTGATGGTGGATACGAAAACTGAATAAGGTCATGTTGGATTGTTTTACTGCATCAGATCATCTGTCATTGTAAATGGTCAAATATCCACATTCTTCATTCTCATTCAGAAAGTCAAATGGAAGCTAAAATGGTGAGAAAAAAGAAGACAAACAACAGCAACGCAAAATAAAGCAAGTGGAGTCCTCAAGGAGTGATCAGTATGTATATACACATTTATATTCTGTTTAGTAACTATGGTTATTTGCTGCACTAACTAACTAGTCCCGTGATGCTAACTTTTATATTGTGTGAACTAATATTATCGTCCTGTGTAAAAATGTCTATCATGTACTTTCAATAATATAAAAATTTATAATTGTAGATTGTTGTAACTACACACTAACAGTTAGCTCAAGTTTGTGGTAGTAAACAACAACAGAAAATATAGAATAACAAATTTTAAAAAAAACATAAGGGCAAAACGAATAATGATTTTTACACATATATAGGGTAATGGGAATAGAAATTGTAGAAGTTAAATCCAAACGCCAAATTACATAAAATATGTGGAAGGAAAGAAAAACAAAAAGAATGATGATACTTATTTATGCTATTGTTCTGATTTATACAGTTAGATTTCCTCCTGAAGCAGATAAATCGTACCATGAGCTTGTTTTCAAAGAGTTTATACACAAGCTTTGTCATACAGGCAGCTTTTATTTTATTTTTTTCTTCTTTTTTTTTGAAGTCATTCACACTCAGGAGCCTTAGCACTTTGTGCACAACTTTGACGACTGCTTAACAATTTAAAAATAATGTGGTGCCGTTCAGATGTTATAAATCAGCTGTTAAAACCATCAAAATAATACTGATTTACCGACATTTAAAACATAATATTACATGTTTTTTGATAGTCTTTTAAAGTGGCATGCTTTTTGCATACATTAATTTGTGTGTTAAAGTATTTCATTAATAATGAAATAGTGTCGTTGTGGCTGATTGCTTACATCATATGAACAATTATAACGTGATTTTACTGCTGGACTGAATTAGAAAGTATTAGTCATTGCATTAAGGTAACACATTCCACATAAACCATTTTCACGGCAGCAGCAGTAGTAGGCTCTTAAACTTACTGTCTCCATAACACTCTCACAAATCAAACGCTCATTGGAGAATGAATTACAAATGCGGGATATTTTAGGGTTTATTTCAGTTCGAAAATTCAGAAACGACCAAGAAACAATACTTCAGCCCTGTACACCAATTTCTATCTTATCCCTTTCAGTTCCTATGACTACTACACTCAGATATCATTCAAGTATAATGAGAAAATAAAGAAATAAATATGAATCGACGCTTGAAAAATTCATTGGAGTTTCACCTATTTATTTTGACCTTATTTGTACTCGTGAGCGAGCCTGCAATGAACATAAGATGATTTCTCTGTCTCTCACAGCCTAAAAAAATATATGAGGTCTATGTTGGAGTGGGAGGAGTTTTACTGCAAACTACTTTTGTCTGTGCTGTTATTATATTATGAAAATGTCCCCATTGCAGTTGCCCTTCCTTATCTCCTCGTTAATATGTTAATTAATCGTAGACAACTTTCTGTCTATAGATTATTGTATCGTGCTTGACGCCCTCGCAGATTCGTGAATCATAACAAAGTTTGCTCAGCGAAACCTATGGATTAACCACTACGTAGTCTTCTATCAAAAAAAGTTAGAATAACTGTACGGCCCGGTGACACTTAAGTACTTGAAAATTTGGATCCACATGTAGATAGCCCCCGTAATGCCCAGAAATTTTTATCTTTTTGGACATGTGATGTGGATATCACGTTCGATATGGTAGTGAACAGTGAATTGTGCTCCACATTTAATCTATATACTGAGTAATTCATATCATGCTTAAGTTAATATAAATGTCTTGTCTGTGCTACATGTCATTCTCGTATTCTATTTTTAGGTACATCGAAGGTGTCTGATTTCGCTGGAATAATGGGTCAATTATTTTTCTCAGTGTAACAGTTGTGTTTCAGAATTCAGTCGAAGATAAGGATAAGACCTTACCTGCTATTCGGAAGACAAGGAAATGCAGTTGAAATTGGTGAATTTGAGATTCTGATGTTCTTCCAACACTGATGCCTCTAGTTATCAAAGAGAAAGGTATTGTAGCCACTGTAATTATCCCCCATGTTTTCAATATTAAGAATAGAATCACTCTATTTACCTCATCATGAAAGCTTGAGGCTCTACATACGGAACTAGAAATACTGCGAGAAATATCAACCAGTAGATCCACGTCTCTTGCTGGAATTTAAATGGTATCTTGTCACGTCTGATATTGAACAAGGTTTTATTGAATATTGAAGAAAGCCAATTTGAAGGTCATGATGGATTTATAAATTACTCACTTTATTATCGCTTGTCTCGCGTTTCGAAAATGACAACTTTTGCAACCCGTCTGTGTGGTTATTCTGTAGTGGGTGATACCTACAAAGCAGCTTTAGATGTATATAACTGGGTGAAGAAGAAAGAGTCTGTCGGCCCCATTGTTCAAACAGCGGAAGATAAAGCTGTTGCGGTAATCAAACCGATTATTGAAAGTGGTATGTTTCTGTCCATTTTCTTAGCTATAGCATATATCATTTCATAAGTCTTTTTTAATTATGTACCGTTCAAGTTCACAATAATGCAGGAGTAATGCTACTAAAATCTGAACTAATGCTTTCATTTTTGTGGCGATTGAGTGCTGAATAAACTTTCAAATGGCACGATTTTCCACACTGAATGGCAATATGCTATTGTTCAGTACCCTCACAATAGCTCGATACTTACTAGTTTTTAAAGTACACTAATTATTTACTCAACATTAGAACACATTATGGATTTCTTGTCCAGCATTAGTTCGGTGTTATTGAGAGGTTGGTGGGTGAGAAGCAGAAAGCTATTGTTCACACCCTCCCACAAAATCTCGGTCCCCATTTTGTATAATAAAACTTTGGTATAAAATAACCGCTCTGCCTTCACATCATCCTTCATTTCCATCAATTATCAGTACTTCTAATGCTAAAATTACACATTTTCACACGTCTCCATGTACACCCTGAGCACAACTCTTTCATCGAATTATTCATGTAAGAATTATTGCTTATTTACTCCCCAAACTGGACTAAAAGCTTTAAATCTAATAATTTGGACTTAGACTCAACCTGTACCTATCTGCCAAATTTATTTCCGAAAAATGACAGTCTTCCGTATACTCTATGGGTGTTATAATAATAAGTATGGATTTATTCCATATTAGTTTGTTTATTAGGTATATCAACAGTATGGATACGTTTCGACAAATTTATTGTTCATGATTTATGTCATGTTCATGGATTTATGTTCATGGATTTATGTCAACTGGACGGAATAACTAATGTATCATAGAGTGATTGGACAAAAAATATGCCTGCATAGTTTGGAACTCCAGTGTTTACTGAAGCAGTTTTGGTGATTTAATTTGATATCAGACACTAAAAAATATTTCAAAATGGATGAGGAAAATAATAGGATTTATAATATCAAATATGACTGGTCACACGGTGTCTAATTGTGGAAGGAAATATAAGAAAGATACATGGATGAGATGTCTAAATTAACAGTACAATAATAAATAATCATGCTTTATATTCAAAACACGAAAGAACAGACAGCCATATTAAGTGCAATGGAAGAATGAAAGACAATATTTCAATCGTAGTGATGTTGCCACTGGCTCATCCAACACATTTTAGGTGGAAAATAGTACCTTTTACAAAATCCCAGTGAGTTTCGGATAGAAGCTATAGTAGATTAATGCCATTTGTTACTTTCATAGCGCTTTTAAAGTACAAAACGCTACTTGGCAGTATTTTGTCCGACAAATCAAGTAATGCCACGTTCATAGACTTAAAAGGAAGCGGGTAGTCTAAGTGTAGGAGTTAGTAAAAGAACTGATTTTAAAGATTTTATCTTCATATTTATAAGATATGGCAACTAGTTCTTATATAGGGACCGAGAAGGAAGGAAACCGTGAGATGGTTGTAGTAAAACAAGTAAGCAATACGTTTCTGTGTCTAGTTACTTTTTTCAAAAGTGAACTGCTCACTTTCAAGCTACTTGAATATTGTACAATACTCTTCTTGATCCGTATAAATTCTGTTAAAATGTGTGACTTCAAAACAATTATCGGGTTAATGAAAGATCTTTATCTTAGGAATGAAAAAAGTTAATTTTAGGAGTGTGAAATGCTTCTTTTCATGTGTATTGCATTATTTAAATTACTAAACAAATGATTGTGTAGTGCTGACGGTTGTATCCATTTTTCTTTTCCAAAAAAATTGCTTTTACAACTAGGACTTGTTCAAAAGATAGACGACATAGCCTGTCATCATGTATTGGATCGTGCTGAAGCAACATGTCAACAGATTAAGACTACATCAAATGAACGCTTGATTTTACCTACTGCTAACTGTGCTCTAAACATAGTTGAGACATGTGCTAACTTATATCTTCCAAAAGACGAAGTAGGTTTCATGTTTTTAATCATTTCAATAGAAGGATAATTTAGTGTATTTTATGAATATTTATAAATTCTCTTAAGAAACTATTAAAAGTAGTTTAATTCGTCCTTAATTCTCAATAGTAAAGTTGTATCATGGATGAACTGAAATACGAAAGTCTCAAATCACTGGATTTATTAAATGATGATAATGATGTTAATATGGGGACCGAATTTAGGCAGGGTAGTAAATTAAAGTTCTTTGGTAAAACGGTTTTAACTGACAAATTATAGAATGCTACACATTATTTATTTATTGATGACATACTAGGCTCAACTTGTTTCTGACATTCGTGCAGAGATTTTATTCATATAGTTGCTTTATTTCCCGTTATTTGATTTCATCTGTAGTTTTGATGTCTCTGTTGCACACTTTAAGTCTGAGTTCAACGAACAAAGATTAAGTAGTCGGCCTGTCGCAACACATAACTACATTACCTGTCAATAAATCAGTTGTACTGCACCACTACGTGATATATTAGATGAAAGAATTCTTTTGCGATAACCACTTTGTTGTTGTAAGGAATTGGACCTATATACTACCGACAAGTAGTTAACTAAGATAAAGTAAAACAGGCATTAAGGGCTCCAGAGTTTTCAACATATATGTTTCAACTAGGCTGTACATTCGTGTATTTAAAATAAATGGGTAGGAAAGTTCCAGAATAATTTCTGGTCAAGGGTCAGATTAATATAATTACTATTAGTAATTAAAATGCCATAATAAACAGGAGGACGAATAAAGCTCAGACGAAGTAGCATCATAATTACTGAGAAGATTGACATATTGTGCAACTGGAAGTTAAAAATTTAGAAATAACAAAAATAGACAGGATGTTTGGACAACAAAATCTAGTGGGATCATAACTAATGTCACGAATAATTGTTTATGCAGTTAGGGATTAAATATGTAGAAATAATAAAATGAAAATAGACAGGAAGTTCAGGTATGAAAATTTGGTAGTGTAAATAGGGATTAAGAAAAACTTAAAAATAACATGAATAAATAGGAAGTTTGGATAAGAAAGGCAATGGGGCGGTCACTATTAGAAGAATTACTTGTTTATGATGGCCATGGCAGGGAACAGGGTTGAACGTATTTCTTTTGGATAAATAGCGTGGGTTTGAGCTTTTGGATGGTTAGTGCCTCGACTATGCCCAGATGTCTTAATTTCACTCCCTTTGATAGGTTTGATCGAATCTTGTAAATTACTTTGTAGGATTTTTCGAATGGCGTTGAATGTCCTGAATTGACCAGATATTGTGTCACTGAACTACATACACGTTTTCGTTCTCCTTTTACTATCCAGGCTGGATAGTGTTCAGAGCTGTTTTCAAGTTGGCCAATAGAACGACCGATGTACTCAGCCCAATGCGACAGCTTGTCTTTCGCATTCTGGCTGAACAGTTTCTTGCAGGAAAACGTTAGTCCTAGGCTCGCGGCGAAGTATGTTTTCCTCAGAGATTTACAGATGCGTTTCATTTAAGTTATTTAGTTCTCCTTAGTCGATTTACATAAGTGAAAATTTCTATCCTGTATCAAACTATACCTAATTTATATTTTTAATCTTCAGGACCCTAAATTTGCTGCAGGAGGTAATGCGACACCATCAGAAAGACTGATTCGATTACAACAAAGAGCATCAACACATGCTGAAGTACTAATACATTCTACAGTTGAACGTGCTAATTCACTTTTATCTACTCTTGCTGCATATGGAAGTAGTTTAAATCAAACAGTTTCAAAAGCAACTATTAAGAGTACACTTGCACAAGCTATTGCTTTATATGAATTGGCTTATTCTACTGCTAAGGTTGTAAGTCTTCCTATAGCTGTACGCTGTATCAGTATGATTCTTGATCGTGTTCGAAAGCTTAATGAACAAATAAAAGAGGTGAGTTTAATTACTAAATATCACTTCTTTTTAAAAGATAAATTTTGATAATTTCTCAAGTCATAAATTTAAATCCCTTAAGTAAGACTTCGTTTTAAGCCACGATTAAAAAGAATGAATTTTCATAAAATAAGTATTCGTATCAATATGTGGTGAAAGTATCTTCACTGTAATTTGATTCACCTAGCATTATAGATGCAGAATACCTTAGATAACATTTTAGTGGTGATTGGTATCGAGTGTTCGCGAGTTGTACGGATTATACTAACGCAAGATCTTATACCAACAACCACTATAGTGTTCGTTCTTCGAGTACCAAATGGTAAAGCAAAAGACCAGATTTTGTCGTCCAAATACGATATATATTTTGGGACCAAATCGCGGGTAGGAATGAATGCTTAGCTAGCTAGTAATCGTGCACGCACGTGACACGACGAAGCACCAAATGGCGGGGATGCTTGACCGTAAGCCTTCAGCTAAACAAGTCGACTTAAACAGTGATGGTCAGCATCCAATGTTGAGTGATGATTGCTGTGGTTAATAATTTTGGGGAATTATTTACCGCTACAGCTCACTCCCCCCCTAGTGGGTTTGTGAGGACCCTAAGACATGACCAGCCGGAAGTAAAAAAATCTCGATGGTTCCCTGATGGGTGAAAAAAATCTTCCGAGCGGCTTGATCGAGAGCCTGCTGGTCTGTCTGCCTATGCTAATAGGGTGTCTGTACATAGCTTCCTGGATGTTGTTCGTTGGATCCCGTGCTTCGTTTGTTTCCTCTCCAGTGCCCGTTGCACCTGGAAAAGAAAACAAGAATGCTGAGAACCTTGTCAAGAAAAATGTACCAAATAAGCGTTATTTTACCAAAAAAAAATATGACATGCATCTACTATACAGTAAAATAATGTAAAGTTCAAAATATCGGGAAAAAAATATACATCTAATTTAATTTTATGTACGGTTATAGGAAAAATATCATTTACTTGTGTTTAATGATGCAACATAAAAAAAATTGATGTGTCACTCAGTTATGTGAAATAGGTGTGAGGGTATTCTGGGAATCTAACGTGACGTCCAGAACGCGTTTTCTTAGAGTGATCGACAGAAGTAGTAAGTGGGCGAATGCCCTGACAGTCAATAGTGTGACCCAGAAAATCGAGTGAGTCAACGCCTATCTGACACTTCTGTATATTGATGGTAACACCATGTTGGCGTAACCTTTCAAATGCCAAGTCCAAGTGTCCAAGGTGAGTTTCCTTATCTGGACTGGCAATGAGGCAGTCGTCTAAGTATACGTATACAAAGTCGAGACCGCGAAATACTTCGTTGATGAAGCGTTGGAATGTTTGGGCCGCATTCCGGAGGCCGAATGGCATACGTAGGAATTCAAAAAGTCCGAAAGGCGTGATGATAGCCGTTTTCGGAATATCTTCCGTTGCCATGGGAATTTGGTTATATGCTTTAACCAAGTCGATTTTGGAGAATATAGATGCTCCAGATAACGTTGCCGTCAAGTCGTGTATGTGAGGCAAAGGGTAGCAATCAGGAGTTGTTTTGGCGTTCACTCGCCGGTAATCACCAGTGGGTCGCCAATCGTTGCTATCCTTTTTCGGTACCATATGCAACGGGGATGCCCATGGACTATTCGATGGCCGAATGATGCCAAGGGTGAGCATATGATCGAATTCGTTTCTGGCAATTCTCAGTTTGTCAGGAGCCAGTCGTCGTGCTTTAGATGTCACGGGCTGTCCTGAGGTTATGATGTGGTGCATAACATTGCTGGTTATGCACGGGAGGTCGTTAGATGGGCAATTCAGTTCCGGATATTTGTCAACAATCGGTTGAAAAGTTGGATCGAGGATTGCTTTCATCTTAACGATTGACAAGCTGGGGCCTACGTAAGTTATGCCTTTGATAGACAAACTAGTAGTGTTGTCAATTAGTCGTTTACGGCGGACGTCTACGAGCAAATCATGATGATTAAGTAGGTCCGTGCCAATGATGGGCATTGTGACGTCAGCGATCAGAAAAATCCACCGAATAGGTTTGCGTAAACCTACGTTCAGATAGACGTATTTCCGACCATAGGTTGCAATTGGTTTTCCATTTGCAGCCTGTAGGTTGAAGTTAGGATCCTTCTGTCGATCTGCTGCTGTAGCAGGAAGGACGCTGACTTCGGCGCCTGTGTCGACTAGATATCTAGTCTGGCTAATTACATCATGGATGTAAAGTAAGCGGCTAGTGCCACCGGCGACGGTTGCCGCTAACGCGTGCCGGCGGGATAGTTTCCCACAGACTTGGAGGCTTTGCCGAAATCACAAGGTTTTCGACAACATTTCGCTTCCTTGCCATAGGTGTTGTGATACCAACACCAGTCAGGATTTTTGACAGAACGTGTGTTGGACTTAGATCGTCCACGTGCGTTTTGCCGTTGAGGGGATCTAGAACGACGGTTTGAGGAATTGCTAGGCTTGTTTGACCTAAGCATCTGCTGGACGGAGTTGATTAACTCTATCATTGCAGAATCCTTCTTCGAAGTCTGTTCGGTAACAGAGTATACTTCGGTGATTGGCCGTTTCGTTATCTCTAGAATTCTATCTGCAGAGACAGCTAAATCATCTATGAGAACACCCTGAAGTGTCACAAGTACAGTCTGAACTGACTGTGGCAGTTTGGATAAAAATAGTTCTCTAAACAGTCCTTCATCGAACTGACTTTGGCCAATGATCTCTTTCATTCTTGCCAGCATGCTCACGGCTGACTTATCTCCTAACTCGATGTTACGAAATAACTCATCCAGACGTTTTCGATCTGTGAGAACGTTTCTCTTGAGGATGGATGCTTTTAACAACTCGTACGAGTTACTTACCGACATCTGCAGAGTTACGCACCTGCTGAATTCCCGCGGTAGGGCGTGAATAACTGCAAGGAACTGTGAACGTTGATCAGTTATGCCATGTTCACAAAAATCAGACTCAGCAATCTGAAACCACGTTTCAGCATTATCTGGCCAAAATGGTACTAGCTGAATAGTTTTGGCGGTTGAGCGAATCTGAATAACCTTGGGGCTAGGGTTACTCATGACGAAAAGTATGCCGATAACAGTATAGTACAAGAATAAACACAAAAAGGAACGAACTCACCGGGTTTATCTGCGTGTGAATTGAAGATGAAGTTCGAGGTTGGGCTCACCAGTTTAGGTGAGGGTATGGTATCGAACGTTCGCGAGTTGTACGGATTATACTAACGCAAGATCTTATACCAACAACCACTATAGTGTTCGTTCTTCGAGTACCAAATGGTAAAGCAAAAGACCAGATTTTGTCGTCCAAATACGATATATATTTTGGGACCAAATCGCGGGTAGGAATGAATGCTTAGCTAGCTAGTAATCGTGCACGCACGTGACACGACGAAGCACCAAATGGCGGGGATGCTTGACCGTAAGCCTTCAGCTAAACAAGTCGACTTAAACAGTGATGGTCAGCATCCAATGTTGAGTGATGATTGCTGTGGTTAATAATTTTGGGGAATTATTTACCGCTACAACATAATATAAACCACATTTGGTGCCTTGGTTCTTGGAGTATTCCTTGACTACCAGAATCACTGGATCAATGCCAAATGTTTAAATCAGTTAGCGAATCCCGATGAACATAAAACGATTCACTTGGAACAAGTTAGTGTTTAACTGAGTATGAAATGTTAGCTAAAATTCACTATGAAGGAAGAAGCCTCAAACCTGTCAGTCCATTAAATCTCTGATTATCGGTCTAAGGTGTGTCCGCGTCGGAGGAAGTATTAAGTGTTTCACTGGGGACATCGATGCACAGACTAGATAATGAATGTGGTGTGGAATTACTCTCCTACATCCTAATACTGTATTCTCACAAACTTCTGTTCCTGTTATTGAAACTTCTAATCATACTTTCCTTTTGCATTTTCCTGTATATACTACCTGTCATTTAATGTTTAAACTGTGCTGTCTAACTTCAAAGTGGGATAAGGCCGCAAGAATTTATGCACACAGTTTATAAATAAGTTACTTGTATTGTACAGATTAAGCTCACTGGCGTAAGCACTCGGCTTCCTGAAAGTCGGTTTCACAGGACAGAATCTCGCTCCGCTTACTTCAACTTTGGCGCTAGGATAGTAAATGTTACCAGCTCTCACACAATATACGTGGCTCATATCGTTGTGCATCGGTAATTTGTAACCAAGTTGAAATAAAATAACTGCAATAAATAGTTGAAAATTTTCGTAAAATCTATCCCTGAATATCTAATACCAGTAAAATGCACAGTGACATAATGATATGCGAATTAGTGACACTGTGTGATGATCTGATACTGTATGGTTTGACTGCTCATTAGGTAGTAACCGATGTCATGCGTCTAGCTGTTGGGTTAATGGAGACTGGATTCTACCAGTCAAGCTGGCAATGTGGTCACCATGCTAAATGACTCGCCATAGCAGTGCACACTGAACTGGTGCTAGATGATTGGAGGCAATCATCAAGAAGCATTGAATATGGGTTTCTTGCTCGTCGGTACTCCTCAGCAAGGCGCTTCCTCACTCCTGAAATAACTCATGTCCCCTCTGGGATTCGAACCCGCATCACCTAGTGCTGCAGTTGAAGACGTTACTACTGAGCTCATGATTGACCTTCTGTATCTATTACAGTCGTGCAGGAGGTCCAGGGATTCTTGCCGGTTGTCTCCAATCATCTAACATGAATTCAGTGTGCACCGCAATGGCGTGTCACCTAGTGTTGTGATCACATTGTAAACTTGACTGATAAAATTCAGTCTGTACTACCTAGTGTCCAATCGAAGTATCCAATACAGTTCTACAGGACGTCAATTACAATCCCGAATGGTTCAGTGGTAAAGTCTGTGGCTGCGGTACTGAGTGATGCGGGTTCGAGTATCAGAGGGAACATGAGTTCCTTTAAGTTTGCAGATATGCCTTGCTGATGAGTTCCAACGAGCACGAAACCTAAATTCGGTGCTTCCTGCTGAGCGCCTTCAATCATCTAACATCTGACACTGTATAATATTTTATTGGAATTATTTATTTATTGATTGAGTGATGTAAACACATACTTGTTGCAATATGGGCACCAAGGAATGAACAATAAATCATGGAAATTATCTGAACATTTCGTCTGTTTTTCTTGGTTTCTGTTGTCAAACGGTTAAACCATAAGATTTGCGGCATTCAGTAAATGAAAAACGGAATTATTCCTAAATATCTTCGTATAGGCGTTCCGGTTAATATAAGAAAGGTGAAAGCAACAGGAGAACACCTCAGTAGACTCTATTTTAGAGAAGAGATCCACGGAATCATCAGTAAGCTAACTGCCATCCGACTGGAAATCGAACAACTGAAAGTATCGTAAATAACAAGAATTATGAAATGTTACTCGAAACAGCTAAAAAGTCAAGTTCGGCTGCATTCAATAAATCCATAAGATTTCTGTGCTTTAAATTACTTTGCATTACTTAAATAAGGCCTAATTAATTTAGATTAATTATGACCAGAAAATGAAATATTTTATTCCAGAAAGTGTTACACTCTTCAACTTAGAATACCACATGAGTAGTATTTTAAACAAAAAGTCTTTGTCTCTATTGAAGAGTAAGCTATCCTTTAATGTGTACTGCTGACAAACTGATAGTTTTATTGGCTAGGACAAAGTTCCGTGAATTAATATAAGATTTCTCTCTAAGAAGGGTCATTGAGTTCTAGAAATTTCCCTGAGTTACTCAGTCGCAGACTTCGTCACCTGAACTCAACCAAATTTTTAACATATAAATTTGCACAAAAATGCAGCAATTCAGGCTATCACACTTCTTAAGTTAGACATAAAGGTGGGGAAAAAAGAAACGCAAAAATCTATGATAAATGTAGACCCCGGGTACAGAAGAAAGAATATTTACATGAAGAATAATGAGGATTCAATGGGTCGGAAAGTGTGAATCTATCTGCTACACTGAAGACGATTTTGAACAGTGTCACCAACAGTTTTCAGTGTTTCGACGACCTCAGCCAAACTGTCTGCACCCACATACGTGGCTCACACTAACAACAGTCAAGAACTCCATGGATTGATGTCATATTTTGACTTGACTACTGCTATCTAACTCTGTGCGTCGGTGGCACAGCGGTTAGGACTCTTGCAGACCATGCACATGGTGCGGGGTTCGATCCCTTGCCGACGCACACCTGATATCAATTGGTTGGCCTGTAAAATTTGGGCTACCGATATCACATGCTGAAAATTCCATACTCGTACCAAAAATACTGTGTGGTTTCAAGATATAATATAAATTACAAATTAAAATTAAATTCATACCTTCTATTTTCAACGACCAGGCCACATAAACGTGGTGAAGGACGTAGAGTTTTGCTTCACAGTACATAATCGTCACCTACTCGTATTTAGATTCTTGAAGGAATTAATATCAACTCCTTGAATTGAACACGCGTTAATCATTACTGTATCTGATTAAAAATCATTTATTCATAGAGTTTCAAGAAGGCTAAACTGTTAAATTATTGAGTGTAACTCATTATATCACATTTTTGCTATTGTATTTTAGTCAAAGGCAATAAATTGGATGGATTTAAAACAATTAGTAACAGTTCTTGAATTTATGAAATTACGTTTGGATGGCAATGAAGCAGTAACAGAAATTGAACTTGAAACGGTGACTAAAAAATCAGAGGAATCTATGGTAAGTAATATCCACCCTAGTAGTTAAAATTCATAGCATTTAGTTAAACTGCTGTTTTTCATGTTGTGAAGTTGATAGTGTATACTTACAGGGAGAGTAACATTCCAGTGATGACAATAACTGGATCAGCATTTTCATAAAACACTTAAGTGATTTTCAAGTATTAGTTTTGTAGGGATTTTTGTTTGATTGCATGGAGGATTTCATCATGGTCGCGCTATGTCGTGAATTGGCAGAAGTTAGAATTCAAGGACCATTGAATCGGGTCCCAGTGGCTCAATGGTCTATGAGCTCGCCTTGTAACCAGAAGGTCCTCGGTTCGAACCCCGGTGGGTGCGTACTGCAGAAGAGTCCCAAACTAGGACGAAACAGTTGTCAAATACTCCCAGGCTTTCCAGTGATTCTCTAACTGATGTCAGCTCATGATGAAATCCTACATGCAATCAAACTTAAGTGATTGACAAAGGCTAGCCCTGGAGTTTAGAAAATGTACTTCGTCTTGTTTGAGACACATCATCTGGATGTACCTGCCTGCATCCACAGTGACTAACGGTATTCCCACGGAGAATTGAAGTCAGATTCAAACCCTAAGGCATTATACACCTGGTTACTGAACTGCGTAAACCACCTCAGTGGGACACTATTACTCACTGGAATAAGGCTACAACAATCAGATGATGGGTCCCAAGTAGAATAAAAAGCACCCTATGGACTACATTGCTAACCAGTCAAATCAGTCAAATGATATTATTGAAGCGTCAGTACTAGGTGACCTAGCACTCCGGTCCTATAAAATCAGTCGATGAAAGACTTAGAAAACAAGTTCAACGAACAATCAATGAAATTAAATTATCTGTTAATTACGTTTTGGAGTGTAATCTCATTGATGTCGTCTAGTTGCCTCAGTGATTCACCGGTAGAATGCTTGGCAACCACTCACATTGTCTGGGGTTCGATTCCAAGCTGAAGCACGCATATATCTTGCTTAACCGGTAGCAAGCTGGGAAGTTTGGGTGTTGTGAGGCCAGCAACCTTACTCGGTAAAACCCCTGAAACTTTTGACTACGCAGCACCATCGATATTTTGATACATTTCCTCTGTGTTCTGATATTATAGTCACTATAGATGAAGAGAAGTTCATATTTACTAGCTTTAGACCAAGTGCTTAGTCTATCGCTTTACATATTTCACCCGTATGCCACAAGAAAACACTCTACAAGTTAGCTACAAAATCAGAAGTCTTGCAAGTAGACTATATCTCTAGTTTCCTTCGGATAGGAAATACCTCTAGTTCTTCTATCACTTCATATTCATGTAAAAAAACTAGTGCATACTGGAATAACCGTTAATTTATCAAGACAATAAGGTTCCTAATAGAATTGATAAAACAATAGTACTTGGGCACTATAGTAGAGCATAATTCCAGCATGGAGTAAATTTATCTGATAAGGCCTCACAGTATTATTTACTTATGCCGTTTCGCGTACAATTTATCACTGCTCGTAATCATATCCAAGGCTCTACTCACATAACCTGTTTAAAACTTCGTTTATATAGTTCCATTATTTCTTATCTATTGATTTGATTGGTAGTAATATATTCCATATCTCTTGTATTGGTGTTGTGTCATTCTTATTGCACTTTGTTGGGTGTAGACTCGATGAACAATAACTCTAAGCAGAATATCAAAAATCCTATGTGATGAAATGAAACAGATAGAAGAAGTGTTTGTGTTAAGTAACTAACCCATAAAATCTTTGATAAGAAGGTTACAAAAACTTACAAGTAAAAGAAAAATGTTAGTGGGACTATTAACCATAACATTAAATAAGGAAGAATTTAAGGCATTTGCAGGTTTTAAAGTTAATTGGTGGATGGTGACTAGCAGTGGAATCCAGGATGCGCATTTCGTCCCATATGGGACTCATGATCTGGGAGGACGCTGACAAAATGCAGTCTTCTGAACACCTTGAGCAGCAATCTTCGTATGTTTGGTATGCGATTCGCCCCTGTGAAGTGTAAGATGTTGCTACAGGACTGGACTACGTTAACTCCTAGCTTAGTGATAGGGAGTGAAGTGATAGAACATGTTGACCACTTCACCTATTTAGGAAGTTGTATCAGCATCAACGGATTGATTAGTGACGAAATCACAGCACGGATCCAGAAAGCTAGGGCTGCTTTTGCTAACTTACACCGTCTCTGGCGTAGGCGTGACATCCGACTGTCAACCAAGGGATGTGTATACTGCTCAGCAGTTCGCTCCGTCCTTCTCTATGGCAGTGAGACGTGTCCATTGAGAGCGGAAGACATGAAGAGATTGTCTGTTTTTGACCACAGATGTTTACGATCTCTTTCTCGCGTTAGGTGGTATAATAAGGTAAGTAATGTTGACGTCAGGCGTAGAGTGTTGGGCAAAGAGGGAAAATCACTCGAAGAGGCTATAAAGTTACATAGATTGAGATGGTTAGGCCACGTGCTGCGTATGCCTAACCATCGTCTCCCCCGACGGGCATTACTAGCTGATATAGGTGCAGGTTGGAAAAGAGTAAGCGGTGGCCAAACAAAAACATGGCCTCATCAATCCATGAAATCCCTGACAGTTAAACTGGGTCAGGTAGGGAGATGCAGACTTCCGGGTTGGGGCCCTCGGGACTCTAAGAATCAATGGCTGGAGACAATAGGTGACATGGCTCAAAATCGTTGTCAATGGCGCAGATGTATTCAGTCTCTTTAACCTTCATACTCCTTTCTACCATTACTCATTCTGGTTCACTTTTATACTTATCTAAATTCTATCGATTCTCTTCTCTCATTTTGTTGTCTACCTTTGTGTGCTATTTGGAACGTGGCAACTCGAACTGCTGCACTTCGGTGCCGAGTTCTATGTTGAATCCAGACAGACAGACATGTACCTACATTCCTCAGTGAGTGATGATCTTCCCACCAAGGCATCCTGTATTCCACTGCTAGTCACCATCCACCAATTAACTTATAATTACATGCCCAGACGTCATCGAAGCATCTGCACAAGAAGCCGACATGTCAACCTGAGACCGAGCACTTCGGTCCAATCAATCGACGGGAAAATCTAAAATTGAACTAAATAATTAATTAATTTACAGTTTTACCATATAAAGAAAGGACATCTGAAACCCTACGTGGGATTCTTAATAGAACAGGAATTAGGGTGACATTTAAACCTACTCAGGGAGGACAAGCTCCTACTGACCTAATTAGAGAAGATGATATAATCTAAAAAATACCTTGCACTGACTGTGAGGTCAACTACATAAGTCAAACCAGTAGATCGGGGGCAGTCAGATTATCAGAATGTTAAAATTTAGCTCAGTGTAAAATGACTGACCCCACGAAGATAAGTAATTTAGAAAAAAAATTCAGCAATCGCACTGAATGGTTTAACATACAACCACACAACAGAGTGGTACAGAGGCACAATTCTAAAAAGTAAGATAGGCCCATGAACGGAGAGAGATTCCTTACTGAATCCTTGTTCATCAAATCTACACCTAACAGATGCAATAAGTATGACTCATCACCAATACCAGAGCTATGGCATATATAAATAGCAATCAAATCAAGGGATAAAGAATAATGGAATTATATAAATGAAGTTTGAAAAAGGCGTATATGAGTTGAACCTTGATACAATTAAGAGCAGTGATAAATTGTACTCGAAATGTCCTCAGTAAATAATACTGTATAACACTGTGTTGTTTTATCTTAATCGATTAGTTTACAGCTGTAATTTCTTTTGCTTATTCTTTATTCAAAAGTATATCTGTATATGAAAGCAGTATTAATAGTATTAGTATTATTATTATTATCATTATAATACGTTATACATTTAACAGTCAGCTGGATTCAAACCCGTATTTGCTTTGGATGATATCCTAGTAGGTGGTGATACTACGTTTTATTTATTATTATGACTGTATACGTCTATATATATATATATATATAATATATATATATATATATATATATATTCAATGTATTCAGTCTGCATGTTTACGTGATTTGCATGAGTTTTGATGTCACAGTGTGATGATAATGATGATGATTAATTATTATCATGCGAATAAACAAAGTACACATTCATTCAATATTTGTGAATTATTCTATGTACATTTGGCTATCCGTCTATCTATATATTCATCAATCTATCTATCCTCTCTTGGCTCAGTTGTACACTTGCATACTTTTCATTCTTCAAGATCCTAATTAGTTTCAAATTAATCAATCAAATTCAGATTTTGTAGATGAAGGATATGAAATTGATTAAAAGTAAATTTTCAAAAGAGTGGATACTGAGCAAAGAATACTCTTTTTGACAACGTCTTCTTCATCAGGCTTTACAGTTATATATACATTATAGTGAATGAGTGAATTAGTCTTATGAACAAATTAGGAAAGATAATAATAAAAAATCATGAATTTATAGTCTCTACTGAAGGCCTGCCAGACCAGTAGTAGTGTCTGGCTGGACTTGCTTCTTTTGCACACAAAGCACTGGTTGTTTCACGCGAATTGCAATAGCCTCTGCTGTTTTAGAGCATGCGGTGCTTCGATGTTTTTGGCAATTTATTTGGCACCCGGTAGATGATGATAGAGAAGGATTCTTCACCGCTAGCTGGCTTTGTGGCCGGTTCGGACCAGATGGTCTAATATCGAACTGTTGATTGTTTTCACTACACCTTTACTTAGCCATACTGGGAGATGTTCTCGAGTGAGCAGGAAAAATCAATTTCCTAGAGTAACGGCCAATATAACTCGCTCCACCACAAGCGCAGTTGAATTGGGAGATACAATTAGAAGTGGCTAACTAGTTTAGGTACTTCATCTTTCAGTCGAGGCATCACCATCGGTCGTGTAGAGAATAAGACGTGTAGTTCGACAGCATTGAAAGTTCTTTCAACTGATTTTCTTTATTTCTTCGTAATTATTTCGCTTCGTATATCGCCCATGAATTGCAGTCGTAGATATAAAGGCTTCTTGTTTACAGATAGTGAGTAGTCCTTTTCCACTTTCTTGGTCATGTGTTTCTTAATAAATTTGTCGGGATAGCTACTTTCAATCAAAGTATCATATACAATGCTTAATTCGTCTTCAATTACTTCTCCTGAACAAATAGCTCTAACTTTGTGGCTTGCAAGCCTCTAGCTTGAAGCCCTATGTTCCACTGGGAACGTAAAGGAATGAAAAAATATACATATTCCTTTATTAGATACTATGCTTAAATAATGAAAAAATGTTTTCTCGATTGATAATCAAAACTGTTTTGTAATTGCTCACTAGCATATAAAAGCTGTTGTTTGAAATGGACTTGAATTTATTGCCATTAACCATTTTTATTGTTGTTATTGTCTCACTTTATACAGACTTCTTACATGCTAAGTAATTTCTTTGAATAAATGTTTAAATTCCTTAGGGTGTATATCACTTTACCTCTCATCTTATGATTATATACTCATTTATATATGACTGTGAAATTTCATCATTCTCCCCCTACCCCTACTGTTTTTTGCAGTTGTCTTCCATTCATACTCTGTCCCACCTTACAGTCATTGGTGTGCACCATATATACTCATGTTTCTGTTGATATAAGCTGTGGTTGAACTACAGAATTTAGGTGGACTGCATAGACTTGTTTTTTTCTTCATAATAAACACAGTCGAACAGCAGGAATTCTCTTCTAAGTGTCATGCAGTATATTATGAAAATATTCCTTTGATGAGACCGAAATAAGTGAGGTGGCATTTCAAACTTATACCACTTTGAAAGTATACAAGAGAAGGTTATGCTGTCTTCGATTGCATGCGCCTTCACAGAATTAAAATAGGTAAAAGCAAGTTGATCTTTACAATTTTCATGAAAATACCCACAACACTCCATCAATCCTCTGAATGTTGGTTCAAGCTGTTTAGGTCACCTGACTCAGGTTGTTGTGATATTAATAATCAGTGGCTGTAGAGTCTTTATGTGACGTGATTTAAAATGACTCACGTGGATACACTCTCTTGGGCATCTTGACATTCCCTATTCCTACCATTGTATTATCACCCAGTGCCAGTTCTGTTCTTCTTTGAAGTGTGATAGCCTTAAGGGATACTTTTACTTGTGCGTCTATGTAAGTAAACTATCTAAGTTAAACCAGATTAATATTTTTCCATTCCTTTGCACCAAGCTTTGGAGTTTCATTAGCGGTGGTGTTGTTGCTTTTTACCGGGTTGGGTTGCAAGCCTCACTCACTGTCAATCCCAACACCCCCTCTTTTTTCTGGTTTACTATCATCTTGTAAACTAGTCGGTGAGGTTTAGGATTGATTCCTCCGGGACTCGAACCATGGACCACGTGGTTGGTCGGTGAACATTCTACCACAATGATTAGTTCATTACATGTTGTGTTTTTTTGCCTTAACATTATTCCCAGTTTGATGGAGTTACAGTTTATTGTTGTGATTTCGTTTGTTTCCTCTCTTCCTTCCTTCCTTCAATCAAAACTTGTTTCTCTTTGAGTGATTTAAAGCCTCATTTGTTTGTTTTATTTTGTCATTTCAATGATAAAATGATTCAAAAGTTCTTTGTGCTGCTTTAATGGGCTTCAACCTGCATGAGTGATTCCCATTTGTTTACATTGCCTTCTCATTAATAACATCCCCCTACCCATTTTTTGTATTATGTTATAATTAATATTTTAAAAAGAAAATTTCATCACATTCTCTAAGCAGTATGATATGCACAGTTTGAAGAAATAATTTCCGATAATACACATAAATTACTCAGTGCAGCAGGAAGTTTATGCCAGTCTCTTTATTGGCTTATTCAGACACAAGGATGATGAGTTATATTTGGTGATGTTCTTGTAACAGTGGGTTACACAGTCTCTTAAACACTACTCAGAGAGAGGCCTTATCTGCTAAAAATACAAAGAAAAAAGAACTGTCCATGTTTTTCAATCTGTCTCAGGTCTAGCAAACTGTGGGAAACCCCCTAAGGCAACATTTGTAACACATGTATAAGGTATCAAAGCTAGTTTCCCGACATGGCATCCATTAGTGAGTGACTTCCAGCTCGTCTAAACAATCCGTACTGGATCCTTAAGTTACCTACATTGTTTTTCCACCGAATGCAAGTAGGTTTATGGAAGCTGATGTATGCTGATTAAACATACCAAGGTGACTAATGTCCCCAGGTGTTTAGTGAAACCTTATCCACTAAAGCATTAAAAGTTTAACTCTTAGTAGACAGGGTATGACAGTGATGTCGATGAAGGCATTCTAGATTGTAATAAGCTGCCATGTCTTTCAATGTGTTTATTAGGAATTTCGCCAGTCACTGTTCTCTTCCAATAACAACCACATCACTACCTAAACACATGAAATCTCCGATTGTTTCCAACGTTTTGTCCGAGAAACTGAGCACAGGAATAGGTTATTGTGATCTTTACTCAAGCACCTTATACCTTGATGATGAAAAGCACGTGATATATTCATAGTCACAAATCGCCAGCTGACTCAGTGCTATTAAATAACTGTATAGCTTTGAAGTGAAGTTACTCAACGAGATCTCTTTGCTGACTCATCCTCTTTCAGAATGTCACTGCTGACGAGGTGTAGAAGAAGTGATGGAATGATACAACTCTGTTTAATCTCACTGATGATTTAGAAATATGGTGTGATATGTGTTTTTATGCTGTCAGAGGTCTTTTGTGGAGGGATTCAAAAATCTCAAACTCTTCAGAACTATGCTTTTGTGATGGACACTTTTAAAAGGGCTCTTATTGTTCAAGACATTGTAGCCAATCGTAGCATGAAAAAATAAGACAATTGTTATATTATTCGATATTCAAGCAAGTTATTGAGCATAAACGTATGATCAATATATGTTGAACTTGAAGAAAAATCCAGCCTACATTTTTCAAAGTTGTTCCGCATACATTTTACAAATTTTGTCAAGTATGAATAGCAATTAAATGCTTTGATAATATCAGTAACATATTGATACGAAATTGATTATTACACATATTACGTAAGCAAACATGTACAAATAATGCTCCCTATGAATCATACTCTACGTGCCCCCTTGTGTACAATAACCCCTTGTTCCTGAAACAGAATTCTTCGAAGTGGGATTCGAAAGATCCACACATTCTAAAAAGTACAAATCTAAGCTGATAAATCATACCATTACGAAGAGGGTAATTATAGTACTGGCTATAAACTATACTAATCATAATCACAAGTGTATCGATTTTTTCCTATGCTGAACAATCTTCAAATTTTATTATGAAGCTTAATTAGAAATAGCCGAAAATAAAATTGCCTAATTCTTCCTTCGCCTTACTATTAATTTAAACTTCTTTTCAGTTATCATAAAATGGCACTATATTTCTGTAATTTGTTTATTTTTATTTTTTTCACTTTTTCCAGGCTTCTGGAGATCAAACTGAATCAGAACCAGATCATATGGATAGTCTTAACTGATTAAAAATTTCTCGTCACTATTGGTATTGTCATTATTATTATTATTATTATCACGATCATTTTCGACGTAAACTTTATTATCATAGTAGGATAGATTTTCTTTTCTACGCAATAAACTTTGATTAATTTGACTTATTGAATTTTGGATTTCCGGTTTATTTCAAGAAGAAATTATTTTGATTAATTGATTGATGATTTTTTTTCATCATATCATTTGTACTCTTTTTTCTTGTGTTGTTCTTTCTTTCCATCATTGTTTCTTGTTTGCGTTTTTACTAAACATTTAAAAAATATATACATATACAAATAAATCCACTGGAATGCCTAAATCAAAAGATAGATATGAGAGCTTTGTGAATTCTTTTGGTTGAAAGATTGCAGACGACATTTTGTCGTTTAATTGTTTTTAAATCACGAAAAATACCCATTTATTCATAAGTAAAAACACAGTTTTTTTGTTCAGCGAAGAAATTTCTTTTCAACGACTTCATTTCCAAGTCAACTGTACAGTCGTATTTACATTACAGAAAATGTCATTAATTGGCACTAAATAATTGCTCAGTCAATATACATATATGTGATAAGAATAACGATAATTAAAATGTTATAAGGGGTAGGGTTGAAGTGGATAAATTACAAAATTATTAAAGATTGTTTTATAAGTGAATTGATCTCAAAAATGTTTTAAAAATGTCAAGTGTTGTCTAAAAATTTTAAAAAATTAGGAGTACGATTACGACAAGAATGAAGATGTGAATTGAAGTGGAAAGAATTCAAGTGGTAAAATAAAATAAAGTAAAAACTAGAAAGAACATTACTATGACCAAGGTAAAGAAAGGGGTTTGACAAAACGTTTTTGAACACATAATTTAGGTTTCTGTTCATGTATAGCTAAAGCTTCGGCTATGCATAAATGAAGAAAACGTAAACTTTTGGATCGATTCGATTTTGCCATGTAGATAACTTTGAAAGATGAATCACGTGGGGCTAAATGACCTGACTCTAACAGGTGATCACAAATAGACGACTTCGCAGTTCTACGTTCGCCTTTCATTAACCAGACTGGATAGTGTTCAGCTACACGTTTTCGGAGATTACGCTTACAACGTCCAATATAATCAGCTCCACAAGAGCAGGTAAAAGAGTAAATACACATAGATGTGGTCATAGTAATGTTCTTTCTAGTTTTTACTTTATTTTATTTTACCACTTGAATTCTTTCCACTTCTATTCACATCTTCATTCTTGTCGTAATCGTACTCCTCATTTTTTAAAATTTTTAGACAACACTTGACATTTTTAAAACATTTTTGAGATCAATTCACTTATAAAACAATCTTTAATAATTTTGTAATTCATCCACTTCAACCCTACCCCTTATGACATTTTAATTATCGTTATTCTTATCACATATATGTATATTGACTGAGCAATTATTTAGTGCCACTTAATGACATTTTCTGTAATATAAATACGACTGTACAGTCTTGAAAATGAAGTCGTTGAAAAGAAATTTCTTCGCTGAACAAAAAAAACTGTGTTTAATTGTTTGCCTATTTTTGGGATCTCAGAGGTTGAATTAGATTTTCAAAGCACCCGACTGATAGCTGATACTTTGATATGGTGGTGGTGGTGGTGACGAGAGCTTGTATATCACAAATACCCATCGAGCAACACAGGATAGAACTAAAGTTTCTGCGGATCCTACTATGCCAAAGAGTTCGTTTGGATAGGATAGGTTAGACTAAAAGAAATTACCGTCACAGTGTAAATTGTTTACGCCGTGTTGAGGATTTTGTGAACACGTTCGTATTGCTAACAATGAGGTGTGTAAAACCAGTAAAATATTCCCTTCAGATGGCCAGCTATGCTGCCTCTTCAATCTGAAGAGAAAGATTAACAAAGATCAATCTCATAAATTGTAAATTTTGAATTACTTTGTGACGGTCCGTGATAAGATCTTACTTAATACGGATCTAACTGAAAAACTACTTCAAACAAGCCGTGTGTGACTGGCTTTAAGCAGCCGTCTCTTGGGCTCTGTAGTCATACCTCGTCTGTTTCAGGCACCCCAAGAGGAAAATTGCAGGTGGAAACAAATAGCCACCCACGCACTTATGGAAACACAATCAGTTAAGAGCAGTTTACAGATGACTGTAGTCAATCTACTATTTGCTGTAATCATTATTCAGCATTGATTGATTCTGCTGAAGAGGAATGCTTGTCCTCTGATGACATCATCGTGCAAATGACATCATGTTAATTTTAAGGCATTATTAAAGAAGAAATGCCAAACAAGGACCAGGCACTTCAGTCTGATACAATCAATCATCAATAGGAACTTTAAAATTATGATTTTAATAAGTAACAACTGATACGCTTTGTCTAAGAGGTATCTCTTATTGGCCTAGTGGATAACACTTTAGCGTTTGAAGCGATGGGTGTTTGAATCAAGTACCAGTGAGAAGACATTTAGCCACCAGGAATGTAGATACACGCCGTATAGACTCCACTGTTGATAATCATCGAGCAAATAACAGCATATCGTCATTCTCGGGACGATCAATATTAACTATAGTGGAATTATGCTAGGAGAAAAGTTAAGGTCGACCAGATGATGAAATCTGTTAATATTGGTTTAACTAAAGTATTAAAACTTTCGCTGTTTTGTTTCCCAACTTAGGGATTATATTGAAATAACATAAATCACAATGATAGAAATGTTTTCCCTGTTTCGATATCTTGATCCAATGAGTCGCAGACTATGACGAAACAGCTGTCCAGTACTCCCTGGTTTTCAGTGATTCTCTAATTGATATCAATCCGTGGTCTAACCTGATACTTTATTCTGTTCGTTTGAATGTCATTCAACTTCTGTTTACATCTGTTGTCCTATGGTACTATAAAGTGTGCTAACCTGAAGTGAGCGACACACCCTTGCTTAAGATTCTACATCGATCTGTATATTTGGTTTGTTCAAATAGGCATCTAACTATACCTTCAAAATAAACTCATAGTGTTTATGAAATATAAATAAGCTTCATTGGTAGATGGTGACTAGCAGTGGAATCCAGGACAACGCGCATTTCGTCCTATTTGGGACTCGTCAGCGGGATGTGCCTACATTCCACAGTGAGTGATGATGTTCCCACCCACTTCAGTTCAATCAGTCGACGGGAAAATCTAAAATTGAATTAAATAAATAAGCTTCATTTATAATTTCAGTCAAAAAAGACACTGCGACCCTATTGGTTTTCTAACTGACCTGAGTTCAAAGGACTTTTTTACAAATATAGTGCTTAAATAAGAAGTCATAATATCATTAGGATCGTAGATTATCATCAAACATTCAGTGAGTGATATACAGCCATACATTGTAGTTAGCAACGTTTTTGTTACGACGGATAATCTATCTTTGCTAGCCGTGTAGTCATGATTGATGTATGCACTGATATGATAACCTGATTGGACAGTTTTTGATTGATTGATTTTTGCAGGACCTTCAAGGTCATGCGGTCAGTCAGATATTACTTGTCTATTTTTGTGATTTAAATTTCCGTGGATGTCTAAATGAAACATATTCTCTGTATTTTTAATAATAAAAGTTGTTCTCGTGGTTGTTGCAGTTAAATCTGACTTTCATGTCTGCCTTAGTGTTGGAGAATATTTTCAAATGATCGTTTGGTTATATTGTCGTGACCGGAGGTGCATTCTCTAGTCAAGTTACACAACAACTACAAAAAACAATAAAACTCCGTCTTAACAGTTCTGCCTATCTTCTACAGTTGGTTTGTAAGGATTAGTTTTGTTTTTTACGAGTTGATCACGGATTGATATCAGTTAGAGAACTATTGAAAACCAACAGGGAGTACTGGACAGCTGTTTCATCCTAGTTTGGGAATCATTGGCAGTACACACCCACTGTGAGGGGTTCGAACCCAGGACCTTCCGGTTACAAGGCAAGCTCATATACCATTCAGTCACTGGGATCCGATTCAATGGCCAGCGCATGAATTCTAACTTCTACTAATTCGTGATTTAGCGCGACCCCAACCAATGTCGTCGGTGGGATGTCCATCTTCACACTTGACTGGATGAACCTCACTGGTCTGCCAATGTTTTGTACTCTGGTAGATGTTGTTAATTGTCTGATTAGGTCATTAATTAATGTTTAACCTTTCTGTGTGATTCTTAATACCAAAATAAAAATGAATCGTACTGCGTGTTAATAAGTTAAATAGTAATAACGTCCAATTGATCAATATATATATATATTCAGTATTAAAAACTATGCTAACACATTGAGTAATAAATACCGATTAATTCGTATGCAATAATAGGCAGGAGTCACTATTAACAGGAGAAATTAGAAGGCAGTTACTTCTTTCATTTATCTAGGCAGCATCGTCTCAACTACAGGCGGCAGGAATGAAGATATCACAGCCAGGAATGGAAAGGTGAGGTAGGCTTTCACTAATCTGCCATCAGTTTATAAATCTACAGACTTTAGAATAAAAGATCAAGATTCTGATCTTCAATACTAATGGCAAGTCATTGTATATATAAGACTGTATACTACTGAATGATTGACTTGAGTAGTTTTATACCACTAACATCAACCAATAGTGCTTGCTAACCAGCCAGATTGAGGTGATCTAAACATCGGGTGGCGGTTTCTATAGTTTGAAGCTGAGTTTTTAGCAAGGGTATCCTGGTTTGACTCAAGTCGGAGAAGTGTATCAGCCATGAACACCCGAATTAAAGGAATGGGAAAATAATCACCTTGAACTGAGTAAATTGAGAATTTTTTTCAATTTTTAATTTGATTGATTAGTATTATGGATTTATATGAGTAGTTGGGGAGTACCTGCTTCAGCTGGTAATGCTTGCTGGTCAGACATAGATGTTACGGTTTCTTCCTGCTTTCTTGGTGCTATTTAGTTTGATGCGAATTAGATTACATTGAGATCGAATACCTTGAGTTTTCAGGTAAAATTGTGTACTTTTCAAAATAGTTGGTTTCCTTCTATGTGATTTAATGTGTGTCTCTTGAGAGATTTTTCATTAGGATATATGTGATCGCGTAAGAGAACTTTCCAATAGCATTTCGGATACTCATGATTATTGATGCATTCATTAAGAAAACAAGTCTCAGCATTCACTACGGCAAGTTTGACAGAGTAACGCAGAAACCCACTGAGTTCCTTTAATGTCGAGGGATCTTTGCTATTTTTTAAATCATGGAAAATTCCCATTGTAACATATAGAAAATCAAAACAAATGATTCAGCGAAGAGACTCTTTTCAACGAATTTATCATCAAGCTGTACAATCGTATATATATGGTTTTTAAGAAGTTATATCCGGTGAGGGAATTGAAACATAGGTGTGAATGCATAAAATAATAATAATATGAAATGCAA